GGCTCCTCCGGGGGCGGGGCTGCCTCTGGTGGTGGCACCATATCTGCTGATGTCAACTCGGATTCCAATGTTGTCGACTCCTCTGATGATGACTCGGGTTCAACCACCACTGCCTTCACCTCTGACCAGAGGTAGGCAAGTATAAGTAGACCACACAATAATACTACAAGAAATATAGGGATTATGAGAAGTAGAAGTGTAATGTTTATGTCTTCACTATTACGCTCCTGACGACTGCTACCTCCACGTTCAGTTACATTAGTGGTAACATTTTTATCACCTGGCGGACCCGGGGGTCCACTGTCCACACTACCCCCATTTCCTGGATTTTGACAGTCAGGGGGGGCAAAGCCAAACTCACAGTGGCAGTGCCTTAAATTGTTGCAGACTCCTTTCCCATGACACATTTCCTCTGGTTTACAGTCATAGTTGAGCACAGAGTGATGAATGCAGGAGTAATTAATGCAGACTTTGTTTGGAGCACAGTAAGTGCCACCCTGAACATCTCCATAATCAGGGATGTCGGAACCATTATGGGCATCCATGCTCCAGCACCAGTCGTCTTTGTGAGGGACCTGGATCACTGTATGCTGAGGTTGGATTGATGACACATACCTAACGTCTGTACATATAAGTTTCCCACAAAATATGTTATCATCTGCACACTGAACATATCCTGGCTGAGCCGCAGTGGGATGGCCACAGTTTCCAAACCGGTCACCTTTCTTGTTCATTGAACTGTAACAGTCTTCTGGGGCAGATCTTGCAGGGTACCCATATATATTCGTGCATTGCTTATCAGGGTTCTTACACTGACCCCCAGAGCAATAGTGGATTCTATCACACAATGTGCCATCTTGCTTGTAGCTGTCTGCGGGGCATTCTGCAGACATACCGTTACAATACTCTGGGAGGTCACACTCATCCTGAGAAGGACGGCATAAAAACCCCTTCCTTCTGAAGGTGCAGTCAGTACAGCAGAGTCCGTGACCACATTCAGCACTCTCCTTCAGTTTACATACTGGATCACAGCATGGATCAAGGTGACAGGCAGAGCCACAGTCACACTGCTCCCAGTCCTCCACCACACCATTTCCACAGCGGGAGGCCCTACGCATGCGGCCTTTGTGCCATGGCTTGTTAAATAGGCAGTCCCCTTTGTGTTCATGAAGGAACTGGTAAAAGGAGTCAGAGCTGCAGTTGCTGAAGCCACTTTCTTTAGTGATATTTTCATGCATGAGGCAAAGGTGCTTATCTTTACAAATGCAGGCCGAGTGGTCGTGCCGAATACCCAGGTTGTGCCCGAGCTCATGGACCATGAGCGCTGCAAACAGAAGGACGTCTTCATGATGGAAGGATTCAACAGCTGCCGCAAAACCGCTTGAACAGGCACCATTGAGAAATGCCTGGCCCATATTCTCCCCAGGATGATGCCCGACGATCATGTGGGCAACATCATGCTTCACACGATGGAAGAGATTCTCTCGTCTCCAGCTGTTGAAATTCCTGAGTGTAACTTGCAGATCCACTGGGACCTCTATTAGGTCCCCCTCGGTCCAAATCTCCATTCCAGCCAGCACCACCTCTGTGTTTATTCCCCTAGTGAAGCTGTTGGCCAGAGCAATAATGTCCACTACTCTCTGGACTGTCTCATTGATGTTACTGCCCCACATCTGAAACCGCTGGTTGTCGACCACGACAAACATCTCCACGTACTTGGTGTGCGACCACAAGTAGGACAGTGCCTGTACATTATGAGGCTTCCTGCTCCCTTGTTGCCGGCTGGTGGACACCACCTGGTTGTCTTTGGAAGTGACACTACAGGAGACTCTAGCTTGATGTGCCATGGTGTATAACACATGTTCAAACCGTTTGGAAGAGTTCATGGGTTTAATGCCATAGGATTTTTCCTCCTTAATCAGGATGCCCCTGAGGCCTGCACAGGTGTTGACAGACACAAAAGAACCTGGCACTCCTTCTATGTAGCCTTCATAGTGGCAGTCATGTGCGATATAAGGCATTTCTTGACGCAGGATGCCACTGTGGTAACTGTAGACTGGGAAGTTATTCATAAAATCGTCCGTCTTCACTTTTAGATGAATCACCTCTTCCTGGCCCTGCATAAATAGCAAATAGGATGCTTTTTTCACTGTGTTATCGCTTTCCTGGACTGTCAGCCTCTTGGGAATAATTATTTCATAGAAAGAGTAATATACTGATCCCAAGTGACAGTATATACTAGGTAGAAAAATCACTACCAGCATCAAGACTCCTACCTGGACACATGAAGGTAATGGCACTCGCCCCAGCCTCAAGTGCCACTTCTGTGGAGCCCACGTCTCAAACTCTATCTTAGCCTCTTTGAAGGTTACTTGGTTTTTCCACAGGGAAGGCAAGATGGAGGCAGATTCTTTCAAAGATGCCAACAGTGACATGGCCCAAACGAAATCAGTTGGTGATGCAGGGCCTGTCCATCAGCAGCAGCTCTCCCTTTCACACAGACTCTAGGAGACTCAGATATTAGTCCTAGATCTATACTGACTCCCGTATGGGTAGTTGCTGCCCAACTTTAAGTTTTATAAACATCAGGCTGTGTCTCTTTCTATTCTTGCTTCTCTCCTGGCATTTGGTAATTTCACTAGTATATGACCTTCCAACAGCAATACTTTCAATGTTCCTTGGCTAAATTCCTTTTACCCAACTCTCATAGAGATATACTAAATAGAAGACCAGTACCATAACTCAGGCAAGTTATCCTTTATCCTCAGCCCAGTCCACACTACTCCCGATATCCGTTAATCCGCTCATTCTTTGAAATCCAACATTCTGGCAGGGGGTTGGGGGAAGGGGACAGGAATTCTCAGGGGATCCCTGAGCAGGACGAAGTTCTTTGTTGCCTGCTGCCCTCTTTTCCTCACTGCTGCAATTTTCAGGGTACTGTCTCACCTCAAGCCTCCTTTGTCAGTGTCTGGGTTTTTAACTTTCATTCAAGAAAAACTGTAGGTGGATGTCCAAGTTTTCCCTCATTATCCCTTGTCCATAACAAAGCTCAAGCCTCCTTTGTCAGTGTCTGGGTTTTTAACTTTAATTCAAGAAAAACTGTAGGTGGATGTCCAAGTTTTCCCTCATTATCCCTTGTCCATAACAAATCAGTTTAGACATTTTACATCTTTATGTAAACATAAATTTTCTCTATCAAGTCCTCCTAATGCACATTCATATTAAGTGTTAAATGAAATGAGCTCAGTTTCACTCTCGAAGTATATGAGGGACCAGGACAAAAGTTTAATTCCTCCCAACTGCCCCAACATAAAAACAACTTTGGGGTAAAAATAAAGCCTGATTGATTAATCGTGTGTCTAGTTACCATTTCATTAAGAAAATAAAAAGGGGCTGTATAAAGAGTTCTTCACTTTTGTAACTAAAATTGAACTGTAACATCTGTGAAAGCCCTTGGATTTGGTTTTGATGTTGATTTCCCTGGTGTATTTAGCAGTACAAATTTGAAAGGAAAAAGAAGTTCTATCTCCCCACTCCTTGTCAACTATTTTCCTGTGCATTCTAAAGATGAACAAAAATAAGACTCCATCTTTTATCTTGCATAAAAATAATTTTATATTAAGTCAAATATTTACAACATAAAACCTTTAAAATACAAAGTATGACTACAGGTAACATTCAAAAATGAGGAATGCTCTATCTCAGAAAGAAATGGTATGGTACCATAAAATCTTAGATATCAGCATGAGAACAGATCGACTCATTAACTACTGCCAATTAATATTTAATTCCTAAAACAGATAAAATGTATCATTAGCATGTAATAAAATCCATACCATCATATCACAAACACATTAAAAAAATTTACATCAATAAAAGTGAAATGATTTCCAGCTGGATTTCTTCTTGAATTTTATGTAAAAGCAAAGCCTCTTAAAATTATATATTATGGAAATTATCACAGATTTTAGGGTGTTTCCCTATGTCTGAACCAAAATAGGTAGGGCAAATTAGATTAAGTATTTGATGGGATAAAAGAATCAAGAGTCAATAATGGAAGAAGACTATTTTTAAATAAATAAAAATATAATTAAAAAGATAACCGATTTTTCACTTCTCAAATTGAAACATGTTTTCTTCAATAAATACATGCGTGCACACATGCCGACACACAAGATACGATTTAAATCTTTTGACTTCTTTGACCAGCAATTACCTTCCTTCAACTTGTTCTTTTAAAATTATTCCTTCAACTTGTTCTTTCTCAAATGAATACAAGCAACATAACTCTTTTAAAAAAGCAAATTCCCCTAATGTTTTAAACAATAAATTTCTGACAGGTATTCTCCTATGCTTATACAATAGATTAGCCAGAAAGATATACAAATTGTTCTACATCAAGCAGACTTGTAACTGTGGCAAAGTCTACAGGCATTTGAGTAACAAGTAATGGCTTTAAAAAGCAGAGGGTTAGCAAATCATGTAGGAAAACTGGAGATATAACCCACTGCTTTACAAAAACTGTTCTTACAATGTTAAGTTTCCATAGGTAGGTGTTAGAGAGACAGACCATAAAATACAAGGAAGATACGGTTTCACTTCCAGTTATGGGCAAATTTTGCATTATTAGTAAACCTGACTGGTATGTTAAAGCAGTATTTACTACTAGCCTAAGAATATTCAAACAAAACTGCACTCTGAAGACCAAACTGTGCTGAGTCCCTTGGAAGCTATTGTTTTTTCAAGTTCTATCCAAGGTAGAACCAACCTTTTGAGTTACAACAGCTCGGCATCCTCCAGGGTATTCACAGACTTCCAACGTGGTGCTCATTTGGAAATGTCTGAACCCAGCACTCATTTGGGGGGCTAGATTAATTTAGCCTGAAGTGACCGTAACATGGGCAACCGATGCTCAGAGAAAAAGGAGCATTTATTTACCCTTTACATCACATCTAAAGTTCACCACACACTGAAGAAAAAAAAAAAATCATCCTGAGACTTTAGAAGATACCCAAATATGGGCCGGCCGGTGGCTCACTTGGGAGACTGTGGTGCTGATAACACCAAGTCAAGGGTTAAGATCCCCTTACCGGTCATCTTTAAAAAAAAAAAAAAAAGAAAGAAGATACCCAAATAACAAACTTGAGAAGTTAATGGTAGACTGGGTATGCTAGAAGGTTCCTCTGAAGAAAAAGAAGAGTAAGCTGTCCTGCCTATTAGCTCAGTTGGTTAGAGTACAGCTTTTTAACAAGGTCAAGGGTTCTGAACCCCATTCCTGCCAGCCGCCAGAAGAAAAAAAGAATAGCAATAAAAGTAATTACTGCCTTCCTCTCCCCATGGAGTACTGAACCTCTGCCCTAAGGTAGGAAAACTACACTTGTTTGGATGTTATAGAAACAAATACAAAGTTTCTCCTAACTGCAAGAAGTGATCTGTAAATTTGCATTTCACTGAAAAACAGAATAGACCCTTAATTCAACTCTGCTAAGTTTTCGGGTCAGTAAATTAAAAAACAAAAACATTTCCTTTCTCTCTGCTGCCTAACTCTTAGATTTTGCCATCTTGTTTTTTTTGTTTTTTGTCTTTTTCATGACCGGTAAGGGGATCGCGACCCTTGGTGTGGTGTCGCCCACACCACACTCAGCCAGTGAGCACACCGGCCATTCCTATATAGGATCTGAACCCGTGGCGGGAGCTCCCAGCCCCACACTCTCCCGAGTGCGCCACGGGGTTGGCCCAGATTTTGCCATCTTGAAAAGTATTCAGTTCTCCTTACAGGGAATCTATTTAAAACAGTTATCAATCACCTATGATTAGTGAGCCCCACCTGAGAAAAATGCCTTTTTCTACAAGATAAAAGGGAAGCAATGTAATAGGATAAAAACATAAAAGTATTTTTTAAGAGTTATCATATATTCCCACAGTCACACACATAGGGGGCATACTAACCAAATGTCACCCTGAAGACATACTAAGTAAAGTGGAGCACTTAGAAAATAAGTAAGCTCTGTGGGATTGATTTTTGATTGAAGAGAATTTGACAGAATAAAACTGAATAACTGAGACTACTAATCCTCTTCCTCTGCTCTGTGAATTGGAGATTGCCTATTAGAGCTCTGCGATTTAGTGACACAGGTACCCACCAAAAACTGCTTTAAAAAAAAAAAAAAGTCTGCTATGGAAGCCCTTGTGCACAACGGAAAACTAGAAAAGCATCCAGCCTTGTTTTTCATTCCAACAGCTGCACTCGGCCAAAACCATGCTTCCTGAGAATGGAGGATACTGAACAAAATAAACGCAGCCCAAGGGATATCAACATGAAACCCAGGCAGAAACATTACAGAGAAAAGGGGCAGCTTTAAGAGGAAAAAAACCGGATCATCTCAGATGCTAATCCAAAAGTCCACTGTGTATTATATGTAACTTTCTCAGAAAAATCATCCCCAAAAGGGGGGCCAGAGGAACAGGGAAAGGAAATAAGAAGCGATAGAGCTGTGAAGGCTGCAAGGGAGGGGAGAGTACAAAGTGGGACCTCAGGAAAGTGGAAAGGGAAGGTCTAGTTAAACATGTAAATAATAAACCCCAAAGAGAAACCCATTAAATTTAAGAAACACACCAATATCCTTTTAACAAATATGACAAAAGGAAATGTTGCCACTTTTCTCTAGGGAATTAGAGCAAGAGAAATGAAGGCTTAGTTCCTTGCCTCTTCCATCATGGCAGTTGGCTCCCCAGGCCCAAATGTGTATCTATGAATTCCAGCAGGCAGTCTGCAAAAACCAATCCACAAAAATTTCTTTGCACTAGAGCTAATCTATCGATGATGCAGAAGATAAATACACAGGGCAACTGAAACCAGATTCCACAGTACTTGATTCAACCGTATACTAAGCATAAAGGTCAGTATAGTTGGTCCTTTATCTACCTCTGGCAAGTGATTTTTGTATACTTTATTAGAAATAAAACAATCTTGCTTGACAGTACCATCTGTCATCTTACAAATATATGTCTAAACAATTCTAAAGTAATAGCACATCTCTAGGAACTGAGGTTTTCTTAAAAACAAGCAATAACTATACCATTAGCAAGTCCTGTACCTTAAATCTATACAGCAACTTTAAGCAATGTGGAAAAGAAATTATGATTTATTAATTTACATAAAAATTACTTTATACATTAAAGAATAATTTTTCAAATAGTTAAAAAAAAGTTTGAAGCTGTCATTATTGGGATTCATGGGACATGGTCTGCTCTTCTATCACTTGCTTCACAATTTCTGCCAGTTTTAGTCGGTCTACTTTATCTGTGAATCCACGACCTGAAACCCAAGAAAGAACAAGGTCAGTCCTCAGACTCTCTCAGAGGTGGTAGACTCTTGACAGGGACCCAGTAAGGTACACTTTGCCGGTGTCAAATTCACCCTCACCAATGGAGGAAGCATCCTCAACACTAATCAAAAGCAGTTCAGATCCCCCATTTTTCAGGTAACAGTTGAGCAGTTCCATTAACCTAGCAGTAAAAATCCAAAGCTCACCACAACACACAAGCAAATCACAAAAAGAAAGACGGACTTTGTAATACATATGTCTGACAAAGGACTCATCTCCAGACTATATAAAGAACCTCTACACATCTTTAAGAAAGATACAACTTAAAGATGTGTAGAAAAATGGGCAAAAGACTTGAATAGGCACTTCACAAAGGAGGAAATCTCAACGGCCAATGAACATTTTAAAAGTGCATAACCTCATCAGTCATAAGGATAATCCAAACTAAAACCACATTGAAATACTACTATATACTGACCAGAATGACTAAAATAAAAAAGATAGACAATAGCAATAGTAAGTGTGTATGTGGAGTAAGTAGAACCTCAAACACTGCTAATGGGAGTTCATAAATTCACACAACCACTTCGGAAAACTGGTGGCAGTACCTACTAAAGCCAAACAAATGAGTATCTCCATAAACCAGCAATTCCAATTCTAGACACATAAATGTGTTCACCAAATGTTCATCAAAAGACATACATAAGAGCCTTTTTCTTAATTACCAAGACATGGAAACAATCCAAATATCCATTCAACAGCAGAATGGATAAATACATCATACCCATGATTTGAATGATTTGCTGCTACACACAACGTGGATGGAATAAATAAAATGTTGACTAAAAGAAGCCAGATAGACTTGTCTGATTCCATTTACATAACATATATAACACCAGGCAAAACTAATCTATAGTGCTAGAAATCCAGGTTGTGGTTACTCATAAGTAGAGAGAGGAAGTGATTGGTAGAGGACACATGTTCCACTACATGATCTGGGTGCTGGTTACAGGGGAGTGTTCACTTTGTGAAAACTCATTCCAAGTCCACACTTCATATGTGATCACTTTTCTATATTGATGATATATTTCAATTTTTTTTTGTTTTAAATCCTAGGGAAACTAATCTCTTCCAAGTATGGGAATGACCAGGCTAGCACTTTGGATTTCTTATGGTATGTCCAAGAAACAAGTCAGAGAATGAAGTCAAAGAGTTTGCTTCTTTCCCTGAGCATCCTGAAGCTTAAGTCTAGTATAGTCTGCTAAACTGGAAAGACAATATAAAAATCAGTTCAAGAAATGCATCCCTACCTTGTCTGCCTACGGAAAAAAAGTTCAACCAGCCGCAGATTTGGCAAACTTTCTACTCTTTAGCGAAATGGCTCAACTCTAAACTAAGCAGATCAGCAGGTACTTTGTCCTCTTCCTCCCCTTCGGTGTGTGCTGCTCCTTGGTGACCTAGTGAACAACCCAGTATCTGATACTCCTCCTAATATCTGGGAGTTCTGAGACCTGGAATTTTTTTTTTTTTTGCCTAAGTGGTGTGTGATGGGGGCTCTCCAGTGTTAAATCTCCAATACACAATTCCCTGAACTCTAGAAAACAAGTGAAAAGGCCAGATGTGCCTGGGCAGTTAATGTATGACTAACCCCCATCCCACAATACTCCACTCACTCTCCAGCCTCACTTCACCTGAAAATAGCCCCGGCTCAGGCCCCAAGGAGATCCTACATGTTCTAAACATTATCACTTCTCTGCATTCCTAGGGAAAGGAGTGATTAAGGCTCCTACCATTCCAGCTGAAGCTTTGCAGAGTATCTCTTAGGAGTTTGCATTCCCGGTTATACTTCCAAGCCTCCTGCATTACTTCATTCAGCTTCTCATCTTCATTCTCTCCTATTGGTAAGGATGAAGAGGAAGTTGCATTTTTCCTGCAGCATCATGGGGTTTTAGTGTCAGAGAAAGGACATGATGTCCAACTGGTTAAGAAGTGATGATTAAATGTGCAAAACTTCTCCAGACTCTGGCTTAACTGCTACTCCCTACATGACATGTAGGCTACATATGGACTTCTGGTCTTTGAACTCTTCTACTTTTACATCCTCACAGAAATCCTCTGATGGCCCCAGAGTCTTAGCATTGGGGGATGGGAAATAGGCAGTAGCAAAAACACCTGGCCAACCTAAGACCAAGAGAGGGAGGAAGAACAAGGCTGAGCGGGTTTCCTTCTTTCACCTAAGGTGATTTCTTACTTTAGAAGGCTATCCGAGGTACACTACATAAGTCTCTTAAAACCCAAGGAATCCAAGAAGACGGGTCAACCCAATAGTGTTCTGGCCTAGTACATGAGCATCTCACTCAGCATCCACACCTGCTGAGTGGAGAGAGAGAGAATACTGAAATAAAGCTCTCACCCCCAGACCCATGTATAAGACACTCTGCCCGTGATACGAATACCACCAGGAGCCACTTCTGGAGAATGTGTTCTTTCTCTATATTTACAAGCTAATGGCAGCCTTGCACTCTAACAGCTCTGGAAATGATGTTTCACAGCCTGAAACCTGATCTTGACCCTGTCCACAATTTTCCATCCTCCATCCCCTACCCTGTGCCTTTGTCAGATGAACAAACAGAAAATTACATGCTATGCCTAACACTGGCAATTAAGCCTAAACTAAAGAACTTAACCACATTTCTGAGTTCCCACTGTCCGTTTTTTTAAATTATATACCTAATTTATATGTTTTCTAACACAAAGATGAAACAGTCCCAAATTAAACCACTCCTGTCATGTGCATGCACACAGACACACATACACATGCACGCGCACTCACACAACACACAGAGCATTAGTAAATGACGTGACCTTTACCAGCCTGGGGGAGAATACACTGAGCAATCACATCTCGGAGCTTTTCCAAGGCAACATTTGAATCCTCGGCTCCATTCTCATGGTCGTGGATATAAACACCGTCCTTTGGCTTGGTGCTTTAAAAGTTTGGGGGAGAGGTAATAACAAGGTGAGACCCCCCCCCAAAGCCCAACTCTGGACAGATATTAACTCTAAACATAAGGCAACAGATTTTTCAGAAAAATAACCATAGTGTACAACTTCTGATGCTAGAGAGCTATCCTCTCCACCCTCTAAAAAAAAAAAAAAAGAAAAGAAAAGAAAAACAGGCAGACCCCTGATTGAGCTTTCAGAACCCAGCACTCAGCCATGCTAGCCATGAAGGAGAATCAAAGAAATAAGCTCAGTTACCCAAGTAACTTCCTCTTCCTCAGAATGGGGTTGTTCACCGAATGCAGGGGTTTGAGGCTGACTTTCAGATCCTGAATTCTCATGTTGGCCAACTGCTCTGCATGAGCCTGCTGGATTCCTGCAACCACCGCCTGAATGCAAACACTGTTGTCAGTTTTTCACGTTCATTGCTGGGCACCTAAAAAGCCAATCTAAGAAAATGGGAAGGAGAAGCCCAAAGTACTAAGAAGGCAATTTCACGCTTATGGTGATGGTATACAAATTTTGATAAAGAACAGGACTTTTCCCCATGGATTAGCAGGGCTCAACCAAAGGCCACATCACAACTAGCCCCTCTTCCCTGGCGGGGGAACAGAAATGTGAGTAAGAAATACTAACAGGGCTTATGCTCACAGTCACTGCCAAAGGAAAGTGTGAAGAGAGGCATACACGTACATCAGGCAAAAGGCTGACATTTACTCACTGCCTCCACAGTACAGACAGTCACTGCAGCCCTGGATGCCTCAGAACCCTGACTATGTCACATGAAGAGCATGGCCAAGATGAAGGCCCCATGTACTGACAACTCTTTCTAGACCACTGGGCATATTTCCACAAGGAAGACAACCACCCACAAATCAAAGCGATGGCAGAAAACCCTTTTGCTTCCAGCTCTCCTTTCTCTCCCATGCTCCAGCTAAACTTAGCATTCTTTTTTCCCATTTGCTTCTTCTTTCTCATACTTCAATCCCATCCCTTCAAAATCTCTCATACACACTCCAGTCCCATGCTGCACATCTCACTCATCTAAATGTCCCTTTGCCATCTCAAACAGTATCTAAAACCTAAGAGGCTTCTCCTTACCCAAACCAACCCCCTTCCTGACGTCCATTTGTCAATAGTATCACCAGATATGCAACCCGCTGACCCCTTATATCTAGCTAGTTACCAAAAACTGTAGAATTTTTTCTTCAAAAATATCGAGCCTGTTCATTCACCTCTACTTCTGTGTTCCCAGAGCCACCCCTCAACTTCTAGGTTACTGCAGAAGTCTTAGGTTGGCAAGTGTGCAAGTCTGGTTGATTACCCCTATATACCTTTCCAGTGGAAAATTTCATCAAATATCTCCCATAGCCTCTCAGTTTCACCTCACTAAGACTTAAACCCCTCTGTCCACTTGCAAAGCCTGGCCTGCCACACACATCTTCCCAACTTCCCATTAGGGAAGAGCCAGGTTGTTTTGCCCATGGATGCACCCTGGTCTCTAATTTTTTGATTATGTTGTTCACCACACCTGCACACTTAGCTGTCTACTCAAATTCTTCGAGGACAGCTCATGCCTGAACATGTGAAAGAGCTCAGAAGCTGCCACACAGTAGATGGTTAATAAATGTGAGGCGTTTTGCCTTCTTTTTGGGCAAATTACACCCCTTCAAAGATGTTCTCTTTTTCTGAATTTCCAAAGCATTCACAGAAAATTTAACATGCAAAGCTCTAATGTCTGTTCCCTCTGTTTCATGTTTATTGACCTTGCCTTCCCATCCAGTCCTGTTGAAACCCCGTGGGGGAAAGCTGTCTTATACTGCTTCGTGCCCCCAAACCCACAGCACCAATATGGAGGGTATTACTTTTAGTGTTCCCTTAGTGTATATTTACCAGATCTTGACCTTGTCTTTTATGGAAAGAAGTTCTTTATTTCAGATCCTGATTTTCAGGACACCAGAGATGTTTCTCTGTGCAAGGCTGCATGCTCTGCATTGTTTTGCCTTTAACCCCTCACTGAGTCAAGCCCCAGCATTCTTCCTCAACACAGCCTTTTCAGTCAACAAAATAAGCATCATTCAAAACCTTATCCATCATCAGTTGAGCAGAGGGCAGCACATTATCCAGGGCCTCAGTCGAGTTGAGCCAGGGGTGGTCCAGTACTCCCTCAATGGTGAGTCTTTCCTCTGGTTTGACCTTCAGGAGCCTGTGGAGAAAATGCCAACAGGGCTGCCATGCACAGATGCTCCCAAAGGCCATAGAAAGTTCCTGGGTCTGGGTCTTCTGACTTCCCACCAAATTCTGTCAGCCTAGGCTTTCTACCTACAGAGAAAGGGGAAATTCTAGTCCCTAACCACTTGTAGTCGGGGGTTACTGTGGCTTGAGGCAGTCCTTTCTATACTGGACAAATAAGATACAAATGGTAGGAAAAGGCCCGATCCAATGACAGTTCTGACTGAGTTCTAGGGTTCAATAAGGTAATCCTACATATGGCTTATAGTTTCTCAGACCTTGAATCTCCATATTCAGGTTTGTAGAACAATGTGCTCTAACTTCCAAAAGGAACTCAAAGTGCTCTTTTGACTGATGGTGGCTGCAAAATTAGTTGAGGAGTGCTATGATTCTAAAAAAGCAGGTTTCTACCCATGATAAAACTCTTAGGTGTCACCATATGGCAGGGCATCAACCCTTTCTTCCAGAGGCATTTAAAAGCTAAAAATCTAAAGTCTGTGAGAATGGGATGGCATTTCCTTCTAAGCCTAATGTATTGCTTCTGCACCATCTGCTTTTCGGTCATACTTCTTATATCTTGTCCTTTCGTTGTAATCCGATTCCTAGCTCACATCAGTATGTTCCCTGTGTTTTCTACAGTACCTCCTTCCACCTACATACCCTTTCATTCCAAATGTCAGAGTAAGGACAACATGTCTAATTGCTTTTTTCAGGCTGTCTGCCACCACCTTCTCGATCATTCTGAACAAAGAGCTTCAGGTTCCTAAAGGAAGGATTATTTAGAAAATAATCCCAAAGCTGAAAGAAGATAATCAGCATTGTTCTAGGGACAGGAAATATATTCTACAGAACTGGCAAAGAAGCCCTTAGAGGATACTGAGCTTTTGGTTAAACAACTGGGAATGCAGCAAGGAAATAACATGTGAAGTCAGATGGTGATTTAAAGATTGCAAAACTGCCTCTACCCTTCTAAAAAATTTTACTTGTATATTTTAGAAAATAGTCCCTCTTTATAGCATGTAGACCCCCAAACCAACAGGACAAGCTCACGTTTGAAAGGGAGTAATGTCCATGGAGAAATGGCTGTACTGTCAGGAGATAGTTCCTGGGTACTGCCCCTTTAACACTTACCTTCATCCCATTACAGATGAAAACACTGAGACCACAAAGAAGAAACTGCTCAGTGAAAACCAAGCAGTGGGAATACCAAAACAAGTCCACAGGCCTCCCACACAAGTAGGCAGAAAAAACAAATATAGCTCAAATTTAGGTCTGACTTCTTACCTAATCCTCCAGCTACCAAAGGACTCTGAATGTCACCTGTCCCTCATCCACTTATAGCCCTAATTCTTACTAAATCTTCCCATCTTAATGTATGTCAGAGCAACAAACTGGCTGCAGAAAGGCTGAAGTAGGGTCCAGGCCTGACCCACACACTCCCACAGTATCCAAGGAATGAAAAGCCAAAAGTGTTACTGTCATCTCAGCACCCCAGTTCAGTTCCCAGCATCAAGTCCATCCAAATGACTGGCTTACATGCAAGAAAGAGGGCACACCAGGAGGTTGACAATTTAGGGTCCTGAATGAATGCCCACAGAGACTGGCTATGGAGGGACCTGTGTTCATGACCCTGGAGACAGTCTAGGGATGCAACAGGAAGGAGAAAAGCTATATTTTCACTGAGATATGGACCCTGAGAACTCTTACCTCAGGCTGTGGGGCTAAGATTTTTGTGATATTAAAACAGGAAGATTACCTGGAAAACAAATGACTTTTCTCTACCCAACATCCCCTCGTGCTCCACCACCTCGAGGCCTCTTGGCCTCCCCACCCCGCAGCCCGCAGACTCACTTCCTCACAACATCTTTGGCCATCTCCGAGATCTGGCTCCACTCTTCCTCTGGGAACTCAAAACTGCCTGTCATGATCTTTCTCCGCATATCCTTTGGGATAGTCCGGCTGTGGTGTTTGGAGTAAAAAGGAGGGTATCCACACAGCATCACATAGATAATCACCCCTAGGGACCACAAGTCACAGCTCTGAAAGCAAAAAAGAAAATGGTCACTCATAGCAGAGGCAGAGCCCCCAAATAAGGCCCCCATGACAGGCCCAGGAATAGCCCCTGGCATATACAGACTGATCTCTCCAAGAATCACTTAACAGAGACTGGAAAAGTTTCAGGAAGTCTTAGGAGAACTACTGTTTCCATATTTTTATATGCTACCAGCACTACATATATGCATACCATCACATAAGGCCAATCGGGTAAAATAAGCAGTCACTTCTATTTTCACTGCTTAGGCCCAAGTGCCTATCTGATGCTTGGGTACAGGTGTAGGATACTTTGCCCCCAGCCAGAGAAGTAATAGATATAAACCACCCGGTTGTGAAATGTGTACCGTCAACCCGGGCAGGGTTGAGGGTGCAGAAGCCAGGCAACTAAGACACACGTAGGCTGACCCCATAACACAGCACATGACATTTTGTAAAGGCCCAAAGCAGTTTGACATAGATCACTGCAAGGCACTGGAGGGAAGAACTGGAGGTCTAAAAGCATTCCTTCGGTCATGAAGGACTCACTGAGCCTATTTGCAAGACCTTCCACCATTCTGGAGGAAGATATTATGAAATAAAGAACAATGCCACCAACTATCGTGTCTGCAGGTATTCAGGTGCTTCCATGATCTGTAATCACTGCACAGTTATTAATGAAGAAAGGACTCCTATTTTAGTTCAGTGCAGCTCCACCTGCCTTAGAAACTGGGTCCACAGAGGCTTCAATTCAAGCCTCTCAAGAATTACGGGACAAAAGAGGTGTCTGCCTGAGAAGAACAGCCCACTGAGCCTGCCATACACTCCCATCACGACACAACTGTATGCTGCTCTGAGAAGCCCGGGAAGTGGTTGAATCAGGCACTCTTGCCTATGTTTTGACATCATACTAGTGGACATTTGTGGATGACATAGCCCACACTGTAGAACATAATTATAAAATTATAGAGGTGAAAGGGATCTTAAAAATAGCCTAGTTCAAATCATTTTACAGGAGAGGAAACTGCTTCTACAGAGATCATGTCATCTCTAAGGTCCTGTATCAAGTGTGAAACTAAGTGACCTAACCAACATCACACAGCTGAAGAGTAGTAGAGCCGAGTAGGTCTCCCAGCCTACGGCCTTTTTACCATCCTCAGCTCCTTCTCTGTCACTAGTACCCAGCCTCAAGTCCCAAGTGGCATCATTTTTTTTCTCTGACCTACTCAGTGACTCTGGGACCTGTGGTCAAGAGGCCCTAAACCTCTTGTGCTTTAGAACAGAGATGCTCGAGATATGGGTTACAGATTAAGAACTACAATAGTACCAAGTAACATCCAGGAGCCCTTGCTATGTGTCCTGGACACTGTTCTAAGGTGGGTACATCACAGGTTAAGAAAGAATGGTATCAAAAAGGACCACAGAGTGTTCTTTAGCTTTTGTATCTCAGAAATGGCCTCCACCTCAAAAAAGCAAGCCAACCACGCCTTTTCAGTGTGGTCAGTAGACTGTACAGCTAGCCAAATAACCTAATGGGTGACCAAGGGCCCTGGTTCCTGCTGCAAAGGTTAAATGGGTAAGATCCTTATTTCATATTTTATCAGACAAAAACTTGAACTTTAAATACATTTATGCAAGCCTGACTGCTTCCAGTCTTTTGGGCAGGAACATAAAGGGGTAAGAATAGAAGGGCCACAAACCACTCACAAGACGAGAGGGGCTACAACTGAGGGGTGAAGTATCTCTTCCCATACCTTGTTATAAGTGTAGGGCGTTGGTGAGGTAGGTATGATGCCAGACTTCTCCTTCTGATGTCTTCTCTGTGCCTCCAGTACCTGTCAAGAGTCAGACCAAAGGGGACAATTCACTGAAAATCACACCACCAATATCCTGCAACTTGAGACAGACTACTGGAAGGATGAAGAGGGTACATAACTGGCAATCAATCAAATAAAAATTTCACATAAATACAACACTTTCAAAAACATTTTGTCTTCTTACAACCAGTAATTTATCAGTCAAGGACATGCCAAGGTCAAGAACATTAAGATCAAGTCTCTGGAGGAGATTAATCTTTTCTTCTTGCCCACTGAGGAGTCTGATATCATTGATTTTTTTCCTGCAGACATCCCTTACGCCTGTGGAAAAGCAGACCTGCACAGGCCAGCAGATCACGTAACAGGCATGTGTCACCTTCGGAGACTATAACAGTCAAATTGGTCTGGGTGTCAAGTGCTCCAAAGAGATAGCCATAGCCATCTGTGGGGGCATCATTCTGGCCAAGCTCTCCACTGTCACATGCAGAGGGACTAGTGGGGGAATGAGACTGGCAAACCCCACATTGTTTATTAAAAGGTGACAGGATGCGGAGGCTCTGTGCTATGACACGTCATCCCTACACCCAGACCTACTGGTACTGTTTCAGCCCACAGAGCTGCTGCTGACGGCAGACACTGATGAATGCTACAGCTCGACCAAGGGCTGTACTGCCATCTTGTACAACTTTGCCAAGGCCACCTTCAATGCCATCTCCAAGACCTACAGCATCTCACCTAATAGGAATTTAGTGACTATCTTGTAAACACCCATACCAGAGTCCCCAGGCTCCAGGTGTGGCCATTACATAGAGTTTTTACACAGGAACAGTAAAGTGAATTAATTAAACCTGAAAAATAAAATACCATTTATAACAGCATTAAAAATATTAAACATTAAGAATAAGTCTAGAAAAAGATGTGAAAGACCTGTACACTGAAAACTACACGAATGTTGCTGAGCAGAATTGAGACAAAAATAAATGGAGTGATATTGCTTGCTCATGTGTCAGAAGGCTCAATATTGTTAAGATGTCAGTGGCTCCCAAATGAACTATAACTGTAAAACAACCCTAGTCAAAATCCCAGCAGGCTTTTTTGTAGAAACCAGCAGCTTATTCTAAAGTTCACATGGAAATGCAAAGAAATCAGAATAGCCAAAACAACTCTGAAAAAGGACAAAGTTGGAGGGCTAACACTACTTGATTTCAAGAGTTATTTTAAAGCTACAGTAATCAAGACACTGTACTACTGGTGTAAGACAAAGAGATCAATGGAACAGAATCAGAGAGTCTAGAAGTAAACCCACACACACATATTCAACTGACTTTTTGACAAAGGCTCAAAAGCAATGCAGCAGAGAAAAGATAGCCTTTTCAAAAAATGGTGCCGGAACAATTGGATATCTAAATGCTAAAAAATGAACTTGGATCCATGCCTCACGTTACATAAAAATTAACTCAAAATGGATTATAGACCTAAATGTAAAATCTAGAATGATATAAAATTTCTAGATGAAAACACCAGAGAAAATCTTTGTGATCCTAGCTTAGAAAAAGTTTTTTTTTTTTTTTTTAACATAAGAAACAAAAAGCACAGGCCACAAGAAAATTTCTTTATAAACTGGCCTTCATCAAAACGAAAATCTTCTGCTCTTCAGAAGACATGGTTAAAAGAATGAAAAGATAAGCCACAGAGTGGAAAAAACCCTTGGCAAAGCACAGATCTGACAAAGGACTCAGATCCAAAATACATGAAGAACTCTCAAATTCAATAATAAGAAAACAAACAACCCAAATTTTAAAGTGAAGATTTGAATAGATACTTTTCCAAAGAAAATGTACAAAAGGCAAAGACGCACATGAAAAGATGCTCAACATCATTACTCATTAAGGAAATGCAAATTAAAGCCACAATGAAATACTACTACATACCCACTAAAATAGCCAAATTTAAAAAGACTGACCATACCAAATACTGGAGAGAATGTGGAGGAGCTGAAACTTTCATACAGTGCCGGTGGGAATGTAAAAAGATATACTCTTGGAAAACAATTTGGCAGTTTCTAAGTAAATTAAACATACACCTACCGCATGATCTCACCACTCCACTTCTAGGTTTTTATCCAAGAGGAAAGGAAATAAAATTTGCACACAAATGTTCACAATAGCTTTATTTGTAATAGTCAAACTGAAAATAACCCAAATGTCTATCAACGGATGAATCTATAAACACATCGTGGTATAGCCTTCTAACAGAATACTTCTCAGCAATAAAAAGGAATGAACCATTGATACATGTGACAACATAGATAAATCTTAAGTAGTTATGCTGACTGAAAGAAGTCTTACCAAAGAGAAAAGACTAAATGATGTACTACTTTATATATAAATCTACAGAAAATGCAAATTAATCTATACTGACAGAAAGCAAATCAGTGTTGCCTGGGAATGAAGGACAGAGGGAGGCAAGGAAAGATTACCAAGGGGCATGAGGAAACTTGTGGAGGTGAGAGGTATGTTCACTACCTTGATTGTGGTAATGGCTTCATGAATATATATAAATATGTGTGTCAAAACTTAGCAAACTGTGAGATTTAAATATGTATAATTTATTGTATACCAATTATATCTCAAAGTGTTTGTTGTTGTTTTTTTTTTAAGTGAGGACTTCTTTAGTAAAACAAATCTTGAAAAGAATAAGCACCAGCTGTATAAAGAACAAATCTACTCTGGCCATGATGGATTAACAGATTTCCCACCCTGTGCAAATAGAAGATTGGACAAAATTTAAGAAACAGCTGCTTTCTGACATTGAACAATAGGCAGGACAGGTTAGTGAACCCTGAGAGATGGCAAACAAAGTGGTAAGCCATGTGATCTGCCAGGAGGTGTTTCTGGAATGTTGTGCAAAGGAGAATCTAGGTAGGGCACAGGGGCCTCCCGGAGTTAAGGAGATAACTGGGGAAGGCAGTGTGGCTGAAATCTGTGGGGCAGAGTACTATGAGGAAGGCACACAAACTCTACATGAAGATCCCTTTGAGTCTTTTGCTAAATAGTCAGCTACACATAGTAGAGCAAGACAATGTAAGGCAAGGAAGCAACCAGGTAATAGAATGATTACTGGAGAGCTGTAAGCTTAATTCCAAGATAATCCAGGTGTGAGCAGAATAATTCTCAGAGATATATGAGGTACAACTAGCCAGAGTAAAAAGACCTTGTTGAATACCTGGGGCATGAAAAGAGAGAATCCAGACTGTTTCACCTGGGTAGGAGGGCTGAAGTAGTCCTAGAATAAAGCCTAATCTAGATTTGCCCTGATAGAACTTAAAAACAAGTTTCAAAATGATCAAGGTGGTCCACAAGTAATTTAACCACCCACCAAAACAATCTTTTATACTCTTAAATGATGGCAACAAAATCTAGACATTCACCAACACAATATTTACAACATCTAGCATCCAAATGAAATTTAGTAAATATGCAAAGAAGCAGGAAAATATGATCCATAACCAGGAAGGAAAAAAAAAAAAAGTCAGCCAATAAAAGCAGACTCAGAAATGACAGAAGAAAAATGTTCTCAAAGTGACATCGCCAAGATGGCAGAGTAGGAGATACCAGCCTCCATCTCCCAACAACAACAAGAAAAAACAAATATAGACAGCTATTCACAACCCAAAATAGTCCTGAGAGGGCTCAAGGGCTCATTAAAGAATCTGCAGTAACACAGTTGAGAAAAAGCATGAATGTCCACACAGAAAGGATCACTGGAAAAAATACTCAACATCACTAATAATCAGGAAAATGCAAATTAAAACCACAATGAGATATCACCTCACATCAGTTAGAATAGCTATTATCAAAAAGACAAAAGATGGGCCGACCCCGTGGCGCACTTGGGAGAGTGCAGCGCTGGGAGCGCAGCGACGCTCCCGCCGCAGGTTCGGATCCTATATAGGAATGGCCAGTGCGCTCACTGGCTGAGCGCGGTGTGGGCGACACCACACCAAGGGTTGCAATCCCCAAAAAGAAAATGTGGTGTATATACACGATGGGCTACTTAAAACAGAAAGAAATCCTGTCAAAAAAAAAAAAGAAAGAAATCCTGTCACTTGCAACAACATGGATAGACCTGGTGATTATGTTAAATAAGCCAGGCACAGAAAAAGAAATACTGCATGATCTCACTTACATGTAAAATCTAAAAATTCAAACTCATAGAAACAAAGAGTAAAACGGTGGTCTCCAGGGGCTGGGTGGAGATATTTTATGTCAAAGGACATAAAATTTCAAACAGGAGGAGTAAGTTCAAAAGATCTATTGTACATCATGGTGACTACAGATAATATATTGTACTTATGAAAATTGCTAAAAGAATAGATTTTAAGTGTTCTCACCACAAAAAAGTATAATGTGAGGTGATGCATATATTAAATAGCTTGATTTAGCCATTCCACAGCATGTGTGTGTATACACACACAGTCAGCCCTCCACATCCATGGGTTCTGCACCCATGGATTCAGCCAACCACGGATGAAAAATATTTTTTAAAAAAACTTAGGTCTGTAGTGAACATATACAGACTTTTTCCTTGTTATTATTCCCTAAGTATAACAACTATTTATACTGCACTTACACAGCGTTAGTTATTAAGTTATCTACAGATGATTTAAAGTATATGGGAAGGATGTGTGCAGGTTATATGTAAATACTATGCCATTTTATATCACAGACTTGAGCACCTGTGGATTTTGGTATCTGAGGGAGATCTTAAAACAAATCTACCACAAATACCAAGGGATGACTATATATCAAAGCATCATGTTATACACCATAAATATATACAATTTCTACTTGTCAGTAAAAAAAAAAAAAAAAAAAGACAAAAAAAATGACAGAAATGATGCAATAAACAGACAAGGATTTTAAGTAAGCATTATTAAATATGCTGAGTACTTAAAGGATGTAGAAAGCTGAAAAGAGTGTCACTCCCACCGTTAAGAGCAAGGAAAAGACATAAAC